AGAGTAAGATGCCCAGATCTCAAGTGCCATTGGTCTTAACAGAGCTTCCTACACCTGTGTAACCCATACCCTTTAAGATATGAAATATTCAGGGGCTTCCCTGGTGGTCCAGTGGTTAAGAGTCTGCCTTCCAGTGCAGGCGACGCGAGTTCATCTCTGCGGGGGAACTGCGCTTCCACTTGCCGCAGGACAGCTAAGCCTGCCTGCCACCAGAACTAAGACTCAATGTAGTGAAATTAAAAACAAAACAAAACCATGAAATATTCCTATTGCTCCCAGACAGTAACCTCACACTTGTTCCCCATCAACCTCCCATTCCACCCCCACCTTGGATGAATTCTGCCTGTTCTAAACTTCTTATAAATGAAAGCACAGGGTGAGAACTCCCCCACATCCAGCTTCTGGTGCTCAGCATGATGTTTTGTGTAGGGCAGTAGCGGTTCTGCTGCTGGGTCCATCCTATCGTGTGGATGGACCAAAGGCTACATGTCCATCCTCCTAGAAAGATTGGTTGTTTCCAGTTTGAAGTCTTTATGAATGGAGCTTCAAGGAACAGTGCTTTTTATGGTGGTCATGTTTTCATTTCTCCAATAAATGCCTCCAACTGAAATACAGGGGTCATAAGATAAAAGTGTGTTTAACTATTTAGGAAATTGCCAGTGTTGTTTCGTCGCTCAGTCGTGTCCAACTCTTTGCAACCCCATGGACTATATAGCCCGCCAGGCTCCTCTGTCCATAGGATTCTCCAGGCGAGAATACTGGAGTGAGTTGCCATGCCCTTCTCTAGGGGATCTATCTTCCCAACCCAGGGATGGAACCAGGTCTTCTGCATTGCAGGCAAATTCTTTACTGTCTGAGCCGCCAGTAAAGCCTAAGATGGGAAGCACCAGGGAAGCAAGAAAATGCCAGTCTTTGGCTAGAATACTTCCTGTTTTCCACCCCCCAAGCAGGGTCTGAGAACTGTAACTGGATCTGATTTATTGGACTGACTTACTACCTGCCCAAACTCCAGGAGACGGTGAAGGGCAGGGAAGCCTGGCGTGCTGCAGTCCATGGGGTCACAAAGAGTTAGACACGACTGAGCGACTGAGCAGCACCTATCTGCCCCTCCTCCTCCATGGATGTAAATGCCGGGCGGTCCAGGGGAGCCTCTCTTGTGTGTCCTGAATCCTCAGCACACCGCAGTGCCAGCACACAGTAGGTGCTCACTAAACCTTTGCCGAATGCATGCGTTCCCAGTTCTTCTCTGCTGCTGGTTGTCCAGGACCCGTGTGGCTCCCTGAGGATCAAGTGGACCCGAGTCCCCATCCTTTTGAGAATCTGAGCAAGGGCACTCCCATGTCCACTTGGAGACACCCGGCGGGGGTGGTGTCTGATAACAGTGCAAAGGGTTTCCTCAAGGACAGAGGGCAGGGGAGCCCCAAGTGTCCTGCATAGAGCGTAGCCCCCATTGTTGGGCTCTGAAAAGGCCTGGGGGCCGGGCGTAACCAGACGCGCACCTCTGCCGAAGCGAAGTCTCGGGAAGGCACTTAACAGGGAACTCCCGGCGGGCTCTCCGTGACCGAACCTTTGTAACTGTAGCCCAGCCAGATTACCGGCTGGATGGGGATATTCAGTGGGGTCAGAGCAACGCACAATGAGCCCCCGGGGAGAAAGTGGATAGGCCCAAGCCGCTCGAAGTCGCGTTTGTGTGTTTGGGCTAGACTTGGAGAAAGAAAATGAAACGTGCACCGTTCCTGGGGGAAAGCTTATCAATGTTCTCAGGAGAGAGGTTTGCTTCCCAAGAACCCAAAATCACATTGGGTAATTGACAAGCATCTTCAAAGAAAGGGCCCAGTAAGCACATGAAAAAGCCCGCAAGTTCATTAGTCATCAGGAAGTGCAAAGTGAAACCAAAATTCGATACCATCCTACACCCACCAGAGGGGCTCAAATGCAAAACTCATACAGTGCCAAGCTCAGGCCAGAGCGCGGGGCCATGGCACTCTCACAGGCTGCCCGCGGGGGTGGGAGCTGAAGCCGGAAACTCGAGGGTTGGGAGTCACTGAACCAAGCAGACTTGCTGCTCTCCCCTTGAGACGCCTGGCCTTGGTCGTCTAGAGACGCACATGCAGAGTCCTTGCGGCGCTGTGCACGATGGCGCCCAGATGGGAGCCCCCGGATGCCCACCAACCCTGGGCCAGGTCACAGCCTGGGCCTGCCCACCAACCCAGACCACACACGTGGCCCCTTTCCGCCCCAGAACCCTCTGCTGCCCGGGGGTGAGCTGCTCACAGCTGCTCCCAACGTCGGGGAGCAATCACCAAGGTCGCCATGAACACGGGATGCCAGACACAAAAAGGACGCACGCTGTAGGATCCTCTTTGTAGAACAAGCAGAACAGCGTCTGACCCCAGTTACATAGAACATACAACAGTGAAATGCATCTGAGCAGACAAGAATCGGGGTAGTCGTTTCCCATTGGGGGTCAGGAAGGGGGGCTCCTGGGTGCTGGCTACATGGGAGAGCTTCCTTACCAAAATGGTATCGTGTGTGCCTATCTCTGGCATGTGTGTGACACTCCCATGAGATGGTTTTAAGACATCGGGAGAGGGCCGTGCCAGAACCCACCCCTGCTTCAAGCCACCTCAGCATTCTCGCTAACCACATAATCCCACTGTGGAATTATCCATGACATGGCTTCTGTCTACACCGGGCATCCTGTGTTGAGCTTGCCGCCAATCCCCACACAAGGGTCAGTGACCAACGGCAGGGCGGTTAGGACAGATTTCAGGTAGCTTCTGGGGGCTTCTCCTGCAGAAGTCCGTAGAAGAGCTTTGGTCAGAGACCTGCTTCTCAGGTATAGCACCCGTCTCAGAAACCCAAGCTCACTCCTTATCAAGCAAAGAGTTGGCACACATTTTAAGTAGGGTATCCAGTAAACTAAGAGGTCTATGCTAGTGGGATCTGAGAGCGGAGAAAACTGTGCCACATCCTTGAGTCCATGAGAGAGAACAAGCCGACATGGATGAACTCACCACTCAGAGCCACCATAAGAAGTATATTAGTTAGCTTGCGCTGTGTAACAAACAGCCTCAGAACCTAGTGGCTTGAAATAATGCACATTTATTATCTCAGGTTCTTTTGGTGGGGTCAGAAGTTCAGAAATGGCTTAGCTGAGCGATTCTGGCTTGGGAGTCCCTCATGAGGTTATTGTCAAGATGTCATCCAGGGCTGCAGGTATCTGAAGGTTGTCCTGGGGCTGCAAGATCAGCCTCCAAGACGGCGCACCCACAGGGCTGGTGGCAGAGCCTCAGCTCCTCGCCACACGGACCTCCCCTCAGGCTGCGTGAGCGTCCTCACAGATGGCGGCTGGCTTCACCGGGGGCAGAAGGTCCAAGAGAGAGTGAGGAAGGGTCGGAAATGCCTCTGACGGCCTTCTCTCAGCAGTTACATGCTGTCATTTCTACCTTATTCTATTCATTCGAAGCGAGCCACTAAGCTCGGTCCATACTTCAGGGGAGGGAGATTGGGCTCCCTTCTGAGCAGAGGAATACCCCAAAACTTGAGGACATAATTTAAAACCACCACAGGAAAACCCCAGGGACAGTGGTATTCTGGGAGCTTCTTTTGGCTTAGACTTCATGACCAACTGCGGATGGTACCAACTGTCGCTAGCCCCCCTCCCCCCTCCCCAGTCAGAAAGTGGCCTCAACTGGCTGTGTCTACGGGGCCTAAGACCTCTGGGTGTCGGCCACCGTGTCCTTACCCTGGAGGTCACACTCATTCTCCTCTAAGCATCGCATGCCTGGAACCCAGCATCCTGGGCAAGCCAGGGACCACACCCGTCCTCTCCCACAGGTCGACTCCAGCACCAGTTTTGAAATATTGATTTATTTGGCCACGCTGGGTCTTAGCTGCATTGTGCTGGATATTTAGTCATGGCATGTGGGATCTACTTCCCTGAACAGGGATCAAACCCGGGCCCTCTGCATTGGGAGCATGGAGTCTTAGCCACGGGAGCATCAGAGAAATCCCAGTAGCATCATTTTTTGAAGCATTAAGACCAAAATGAGCCTTCCATTTTACAAAGTCTCAGCCAATTCTGATAAAGAGTGCCTGGTCACATTTGCTGAGTTTTTGGCAGCTAGGCAGCATGTTGAAAAATTGGGCCCAATCACATGTTACAGGCTCATTCTATGATTTCCAGGGCACAACAGTAACCATCAGTTCATGTTCAACCGGCCAAAAGAGAGCGGCCACTGTGTGGTTATCCACTGTTTCAAGGTGAACCTCCCAGAACAGTGGCTGCTAACAGCCACCCGTTATCTCTCATCAGGCTGTGGGTCGGGGGGCTGACTGGGGCCAGGTGTGTGGCCGATCTCCAGTGGGGACAGTCTTGCATCCAGTCAGCTGGTGGGTCAGCTGAGCTTGGCTGCTCAAGGGTAGCTGCGGTTCATGATGACAAGCTGGCTGTTGGCTGGGATGGTGATGGGAGTCTTGTCCTCCAGCAGGCTGGCCTGGGCTTATTCACAGGGCAGTGGCCAGGTCCAGGACAGAGTGCAATGCTCTCAAGGCCCTGTGAGGCTTGTCACTTTGCCTGTTTCTATTGGCCAAACCGAGTCCTGAGGTCAGCCCAGAAGCTGCAGAAATACACTGTGCCTCTTGACGGGAAACATTGCTAAGTAATGTGGCAAAGGGGGCAGCTACAGGCCAGGGCAGGAGAATCATGGCCTCCTACAACCCACTACACATGTGGTCTTCTTGACTTGATGCTGAAGAAGAGATTGGATAGAACTCAACATCTTCCCGCTGTTGTTATTATTGTTCTCTTGCTAAGTTGTGTCTTACTCTTTGCAACTCCATGAACTGCAGCGTCCCAGGCTTCTCTGTCCTTCACTATCTCCCAGAATTTGCTCAAACTCATGTCCATTGAGTCAGTAATGCCATCCATCTATCTCATCCTCTGTTGCCCACTTCATTGGATAGAACTCAACATCTTCCCACTTTACCAGATTCTTTACCATAGCTCTTGCCTGAGCTATGAGGGAAGCCCATCTTCCCACTAAAAACTCTTAAAAAACCAAAAAGTATAACTTTGAAACAGGGTCAGGAATATCTATTTCAAGCTAAGAGCCAAAATCACACTGAATAGTGACGTGTTACAAGTGGGTTCATTAAAGTCAGGGACAAGTCAAGGATGCTGTGATCACCTCCGTTAATTATCAATGCTCTGAAAGTTCTAGAATGTGCTATCAGACAAGAAAATTCAATAATAATTGTGGTTGTTGAAAGAGGGAAATTAAATAGCCACTGATTGAAGACAATATGATGGCCTACCTGAAAAACCCAAAAGTGTCAGTTGAAACGTGGTGATAATTAGGACAGCTCTGTCAGGGAGTTAGACGCTAACAACTCTCCAGAGTTACTGTGTGGCCAAAAGAATCAGTGTAACTGCTGGAAATTGCAGTGGAGAAAGGATGCAATCCAAAAGAGCAGGATGGTGGGGGGAATAGAAATACCCTGTGAATAAACTCAAGAGGATAAAATACCAATAGGCACAGAAGTGTAAAGTTCTACTGAGGAACAAAGGATGAAAGGGGTGGGGGGAGGGAGAAGGGAAGTTTGTCTAGATGGATGGATGGATAAATGAACAGATGGACGGATTAATGAGTGAATGGGTCGATGGATGGATGGGCAGTTGGATAGATGGATGGAGTGATGGACAGATGGCTGGCTGGCTGGATCAACAGGTAGATGGATAGATGGGTGGATGGATGAATGGATGGAGTAGTGAGTGGATGAGTGGATGGATGGATTAGTGAGTGGATGGATGGATGGATGGACAGATGGCTGGCTGGATGAATGGGTGGATGAACAGAGGATGGAGTGAATAAAACAGATGTTTACACTCCAATTCAAAAAACATATTCTACATAATTGATTGAGTAGGAGCTGGGCAATGACTGTTTTGTACAGAACAGTGACGCGTGTTTGGAAACGGCCCAAGTGCTCATCACTGAGGGGTGAGGTACAATCTGTGGACACCCCACAAGGAACAGCCCTCCTCCTCCTTCCTGCCACCTTCCCCATCCCCAGGAGCTCTCAGGGGATCTGCCCATGCCGCCCACCCCACACCACAGCCACACAGGTCCTCCCGGGTTCTCTTCATCACACAGTGTTATCATCAGGCCCCATCTCGCTTGGCTTCATCTCCTTGAGGACAGAGTATGTTCATGCTTCTTCAGGCAGATATTTGTGTGTGTCTTGTTTGTGCTGGGTGTAAGATTTACAGGGGGAAATAAACCAGATGTGGTCTGGACCACAGTTAGGTGCCAAGAGAGAAAAAGCAGCAGGTTATTAAATGCTATCCCTCTTATTAATAAATACAACGCTGAGATGGTGGTGCATTGATCATATACCAGATGCTGGATGTGCCCCTTCCCAAGCAGGTGCTGCCACCTCCCGTTTTACAGAGGAGGACACAGTGATGGTCACGCGGTCAGGGAGTGGTGAGGGCAGCTTCACACCCAGGCAATGGGACCATGCACTTTGCCGAGCCCCAGCCACCTCTCTGGTGGATGGAATAGGAATGAGATGGTTCTATGGCATCGCTGATTGAATGGACATGAGTTTGAGCAAATTCCAGGAGATAGTGAGGGACAGGAAAGCCTGGAGTGCTGCTGTCCACGGAATGGCAGAGTCAGACACAACCGAGTGACTGAACTAAAACCCGAATATGTGCTAACCTGCTTCAGTCGTGTCTGACTCTTTGCGACCCCAGGGAATGGAGCCCACTAGCTCCTCTGTCCATGGGATTCTCCAGGCAAGAATACTGGAGTGGGTTGTCATGCCCTCCTCCAGGCCATCTTCTCGACCCAGGGACCGAAGCCACATCTCTCATTATCTCTTGCATTGGCAGGAAGGATCTTTACCACTCGGGCCACCTGGAAAGCCCCAGTGAACACTGACAGCTAGGAAATGCAGAAAATAAGGACTGCTCCTAATTTAAACTGGAAGAGCAGAAAGTCCAGGTTGTAACGAGGAAAACACACGATGAGGGACAACAGTGCCGACAGAAACAAGCAGGGATGCGTTCACCCACATAAAGAAAACATCTGTGCCAACATGCTCCTGCCCTTCAAAAGCAGGGGGGGCTTTCTGCATCTCCTCCATCTCACCTTTCTGCGAGGCATGTTTCTCGGTCTTCCCCTGGTACTCGAAGCCCACAGCAGACTGCAGTCACAGAAAAAGAGGAGATGCAGATTTCAATGTCTGGATCCACAACATATGTGACATTTTAAAAAACACAAAGCATGTTATTGGTATTTTATTTTTTTCTTTCCTAAGCTACTAATGCCCAAAGCACCAGTATTTTGAATTTGCACACCTTGAAACACTCACTGAAGCCTGGGGGCCGCCCCAGCCAATGAGCAAGGCGGCCCTCAATGCTATGACAGAAAACGAGAGAGCCGCCAGCCCTGAGCCAGGGCTTCAGACCAGAGGAACAGCATCAGACACAGCACAGCCCTGGAATTAGGTGAGGGGAGGCGCTCTGTCACTGTGACACAGGCAGAGACAGAGTCCCCACTGTCCCCCAGGACACACCAAAAGCCATCCCAGGCACCAACACGGGGGTTTCTACAGCCATCAGGGGAAAGCCCTTACTCTTGACCGTGCTCACCTCTTAAAACAGCCCACCATCTCAGAGCATCTGTTGGGGGGGGGCCCTCAGGAGCCTGTGCTCGGGACCCCCGCCTTGCATTCCCAGAGTCCAAGGCCCCTCTGCGCCACTCCGAGACGCCCAGGGAACACTCGGGGCAAGCTCAATCTACAAGGTGGGGCCTCGGCTGCCCAGGACGCTTCACTCACCTGGTCCACTCTGTCCACCTGGACACCAAACTTGCCTCCAAAGCCCCGGACGGAGTCAACCTGTGAGCAGTGCTTGGAGAGCTTTGACTGATACTCATGGCCGACAGCCGACTGGAACAGGGGCAAAAGTGAAGCATCAGACACCCACCAGCATTGCCACACTGGACCCGCCCCCCGACCCGGAGGCAGCCTGCGCTTCTGCTCGGCGTGGGTGATGCAAACAAAACCACTCAACGTGGAAGCCGGCCCAGGGGGAGGTGACTCCGGGGCATCACAACGCCAGGGCCCCAGTCAGGTGTTCCTGAACCCTCTCCACACCAGGCTCCCCAGAAGTTGCCTGAACCCAGTCACAGGGGGCCTCCTGAGGTGCCTGGGCGTGAAAAACCAGGAGGCCAGGCCCCAGCCAGCACCACAGAGCCAGCAGCCTGCCAACGACTCCTGAGACCACTTCCAGGAAGACTGCCGGCAGTGATCACCATCCTCAGGTGGCCCTCCTCAAAACACATGTCCCAAGAATCGGCACAAACCAGAACACAGATGACATGCTTCAGGCACACCACACGTTCAGTGTCAACACCTGCTACACACCCAGCCCACCCAGCTGTGCAGTGGGGCCTGCCACCGCCTCGCCACCCCCCCAGTCAGGGAAGCAGTGACCTCTCAAGGCCACGTCCTGACCGAGCAGTCCACCCCGAGCTTGCTGCTGTGTGGTCAGCAAGCCGGGGCCTGAGGCCCACATCCAGCACCGAGGTTCTTTGTAAATAAAGCGTTCTGGAACATACCACGTGTGTTCATTTACAGAAAATCTACGCCTAACTTTGTGTCAAGACAACACAGCTAGTTCAGGAGCCGCCCGAGACCCTGCGGTGGCCAGGAAGCTAAAAATATTTACACCCCGCGCTCTGAGCGGCCCCATGCTGCTCCAGTCGCCCAGGCCCGACCCTCAGAGTAAGGCAGCAGGCACCCTCGGCAGAATGGACAGTGGTCACGGACCTCTCTGTGGACACTGAGGACACAGGACAGATGACTGACGCATGACCCGATGCCGGGCAAGGAGGCAGCTCGTCCAGAGCCTAAATCCTCCTCAGGGAGTCACCCCCACCTTGGCCCCCTCCTACAATACAGCGAGGGGCCTGCCGGCGCGCTACCAACTCCTCTCCCACTTGTTTACCCGGAACTTCGGCGGCAGCGTTTAGGGTCCAAACCCCACAAGGTCACCACCACTGCCAACAGCTCTGCAGGCAGCTCAGGGCGCACTTTCTTCCACAGCCAGGGAGCAAAGCAGGTTTCACTTTCCAGTCCGAAGCTGTGACTCTCTCTCCCTCCCAGGCTGGATCTGATGCCCACAGCTAACAGCTGAGCACCACGGCCTCGGAAAACCCGTGGCAGAGACCAGCCATCTGCAGCTTCGGGACTCTCACCCAGACAACATCGACAAGGGAACGCGGAGGCAGCAGCGTGCCCAAAGGACCCCCGCGTGACCTTCATCACTAAGAAGTCAGAGAGCTGTTCCACAAACACGGCCAGAGTGAAAGCTCAGCGATTCCCCCGACTTTCTGATCAAAACAGCTCTCTCCCCCAGACTGGCCTTTGTCCTACACTGACGAGACTCTGTTTCTTATCAGACAGTCAGCACCAGGCAGAGCACTGTGGGGAGCAACGGTGACACTCGGGTCGTGGGGGGCGCCCCCCTCTCAAGCAGGTGCTGGCCCACCAGTGCCACAAGCTCTGTCATTCCGGGCGGAGTCCGATCCGGGCACAAGGGGGACGGGCTGGAATTACAGAGGAACCCGCCCCCAGCTGACACCTCAGCACAGAGTGAAAGCAACATCTCAGGTTACCCCACCTGGGAAACGCGCACCCGCTTCACTGCACACGCAGCACACCTGCTCGGGTCTACTGTCCTCTCTGCAGGGCGGACACAGCCCCCAGCTGATCCAGCCCCCTCTCCAAGCACCAGCAAAGGATGCTGCACTGTTAACAGCTTCAGTCCCACCTCCTTAGACCTGCCTGTCCTCAGCGTGGTGGGCCACAGCTTGACGCCAGCGGCCAGGGTCCTCTCTGAAGGTCACTAAGTGTGGGAAGGACAGCGGGCCAGGAGGCTGACTTCCCAGCCTCAACATGAAACCAGGCGCTGGAACTCAGCTCTGGGCCGCAGATGGGAACCACTATGGCTACGCCTGAACCCCAGGTGATGCCCAGGCGGCAGCCTCCATCCCCGTCAGAGCCAGCCTCTGGTAGGACCTCATTTCCAGCTCCAGGCTCCCAGCACACCACTACCCCCCCAGCAACTCAGAATCTGAAGAGAGCTTCCAGATACCGCAGCCCTTCTCAGCTAAGGTCAATTGAGAGAGGGTGCCTTCTGGCAAATCTCATCCTCAACAAGGGGCCTCCCAACTTTTCAATGAAGGGGGCAGGCCGAGAGACAATCCTGCTGACCCTGGCGAGGCCAAGCACGCCAGGACCCGGACACCATGTGGGCCGGCACTCACCTTGTCCATCCTGTCCTGCTCCACGCCAAACTTCCCTCCGTAGCCATGCGAGGCTTTGGGTCCCGTTTCCAGCTCCTTCTCCTTGAGGGTCTGGTGTTCTTGAAACACATTCTCCCGCAGCTTGTGGATGCTTGGAGGGAAGAGATGGAAGACAAATCAGTCAGCCAGCCAGCCAAGAAATGCCTCTGTGCATTCTGGGAGGACAGACAAGGACGTCATCTCTGCAATCTTTCGTTCCCAGGTGGCTCCCCAGCCCGGCCTCCCTCGTGTTCACTTTACTGCACCTCCAGCTGCCCCCAACTCCAGCAGTTCTCGGAATCATATGCAGGTTAATGGGAAAAAAAAACAAGTCTAAACACACACAGTGAGTCATCTCCAAGCCCCTACAGAAGCTGGGCTATGATGTGGACGGCATTCCACCAAGTGGAGGACAGCTCCTCGGGTTCACCAGACACCTGACCCGGGACAGCCAGCAGGCAAACGGGAGACAAAGTCAACAGGCGTGCACCCGGACGACCCGAGGCCAGGAGCCCAGAGATGTGGAATATTCAGACAGTTTCTCGCCACGTGAAGCACCCCAGCTTTCCATTCAAAGGTGAAGCAGGAGGCTTTCAGAACTTAAGATGTAAAAGCCACTTTCACTTTAAACGCTAGGAGCAGCAAGACAGATCACTAGATGCAGCCAGAACAGGCAGGCCGGGCAGCTGTCCCCCAGGGCCGCCGAGGGCCACCTCACACCACAGCCACACCTCCACATCCGGACAGCAAACCCAGACGTGCGGCTTAAAACACCAACGAGGCCTGGCCACCTTCCGAGCCCCTGACGAGCTGGGGAAGAAGACCAGCCTCCAAGCACCGTAGAGGGACCTCAGGATGCCAAAAGCAGTTCTGCCTTGGGTGTTCTCTGAATTCTAACCCACCCACAGGCTGCCTGACCAGAGAGAGTTCCTTTCTTCTCCAATCTGCCCTCCCCGACGTGTTGTGAAACCACGGTGAACAGCTAAGAGGCTAAGAGGCCTGGATGACAAAAGCAGGTCAGCAGTCAGTCTGACCCCAGAGCAGGGAACCTGGGACAGCTCCCAGCAGCAGCTCCTCCAGCCGGTCCCAGGCCCTTCTCCGAAGAGCTGCGAGGTGGCGGGCTCAGCGAGTCAGGGAGGGAGGAACACTTGGGTCTAAAATGCCCACACTGCAGACTTCACCCACTTTTCTGGATGAACGGCTGAACCCTTCTCAGCCAAGAAGAACCTCATTTCACTGCAGAGATCCTAGAGCCAAGGAAGACCAGTGCTCTACAAACGACCCAACCAGTCACAATCAGGGCAGGGGCGCAGACACCCTCACTGAGGCCAGCACAGGCGGAAATACAAGTCTGAGCACATACTCAAAGGCCCCTTTATCTACACCTCCCAACAAGAACACAAGCTGCCCCGGAGGTGGCGAGTTAAGACTGGCCAAGTCAGGGACAATCCCTGCTTCATGCATTTCTCCTATCTTGACCTTCATGAGAACAAGAAGTTCAGGCCTCAGCTCAGGGTATCCAACTGACAACAGAATAATAACATTATAACAAAATAATACAAATTAAGGAGGGGGTGTTTCTGATCTCATGTCTTCAAAGACAGCCACAGCCCACGCTTTAGAAACCTCCCATCTGCAGAGAGAACAGCTTAGGTAACTGTGCTCCTGGATGAAAACCAGACTGGAGAATCAGGAGTACAGGAGACACCGGCAATGAGAATTTTAAACCACTGAGCACGTCTGTACAGATGCACATACACAAACACCTAAGTATATATGCGTCAGGCCTCATTTTCACCTACTGTGTGATCTACAAAGGACCAGACAACGCAGAAGCAGGGCACTCGCGCTCACCAGCAGGGAGCGTGCCCTGCCTCGCCCCTTCACGTTTCAGAATGTCACCATCACACAAAGATCAAGAAGGTCTCTTACTTGATGTGCTCCTGGTGCCCAGATCCTTGCACGGTCTTGGCCCCCCATCTCTGCTCTTTTTCACTTACGTCATTCTAAAAAGAAAAATAAAGAAAGAATACACCCCACACCCTGGACTGTAAAACAGCCCCCCACCCACCCACCCACCCACCCAAACACCTGGGAGGATCCACTTCAGGAGACGGGAGAGGGAGGCAGATTGGCGGCTCCTACCACGAAATCGGGGTCAGTCTCCCAGTCGTCAGCTCCCCCGTCGTCCGGGGTGATGGACACAGTGTGGCCGGCTGAGGCTTTCCACATCTGCAAGGGCAGCGTGGACGGTCACAGACGCCAGGAGAGCCCTGCCCAGAGGCCCACATGGACGCTCTACCCAGGACCCCAAAGCCCTGGACGGCACAGGGAGGGCAGGGAGCTACATGCTCAAGAGGTCCACTCGCGGGACTTCCCTGGGGGTCCAGCAACTAAGACTCCCTGCTCCCAATGCCAGGGGCCCAGGTTCAATCCCCAGTCAGGGAACTAGATTCCTGAAGGCCACAACCAAGACCTGGTGCAGCCAATTTTCTTTCTTTTTTTTTTTAAAAAAAAAACGGTCACTCATAATCCCCGTGCCTGAGTGACACCGGAAGGACCCAAAGAAACCTAACATGAAAGCCCCAACACTGCAGTCACAGGGCAGAAACACACAAGAAATACTCCTGGCTCCAACTCAAGTGAGGAGAGTCACGTGTGCTAGTTCACTCAGCAGGAACCTCCCCGACTAAGTCTCCTGACAAGTGCTGTCCAACACTGGGAACGTGCTGTCGCCAATAGTAAAGTCTGCTGTATTTTATCACAATTTTTTTTTAAAAGCATCCATTTTGACTTAAAAATAATTACTTGAAACCTAACAATGATTTTCTTAACTTAGACTCTGACAAGTCAATAAATCATTCACGGGCTGCTTTGCCATCTACTTGGGGAAACGCAGAGCACACAGGATGCCAACTCTGTGCCGGGCCTCCTCAGCAGGGCCCTGAAACTCTGTAACTTATAGGCTTGGAGAACAATGACACAGCCTAACAGCCGAACCACACTACTCTTTCCGTAACTGCAAAAGCAAAATCTAGCCTTTCAGGACTTCAATAGAAAGCAATGAGAAGAACGGTTCTGTTCTCCCCAGAAGTCCCCATAAAACTGCTCACAGGCCAGGAAGCAACTGAGGGCTTGTTTTCACTCAACCAGAAGCCCCAACCCTGGTGTCTGAGCTGAGGACACTGCCCATCTCACTTGGTGGGGCCACACGCTCTGTGTGGATCCAGACAGGACAGGAACCCTTCACAGGCCTGAGATCCCCCCAGGCCGGGTCCCCCTGCACCCCTGGTTCTGCTGGGTCACAAGTCCAAGGTGGTGGCAGGGGTGGATGGAGGGGCCCAGCTCTCAGATTCCCAGATTAGACTCCTGCCACGTCACCTGGGCAGGTAAGCATGTGCCACCAGGTGGGCAGGACCAACGCAGTCCCCTGGACACTGTCCCACCGGGACCCTTGCTCCCCTCTGACTAGGTGAAGCAAAGCAGGAAGTGCCTTTGGACACAATCTTTGAGAGCCAACAGACCAGGTCCAGCCACGGTGGGCACAACCAGCGTGCCTATTCACAGATAGAGACACAGCTGCCTGAAAGCCAAAAGCTCTGCCCAAAGCCTCTGCTTCCCCGAGTCAAGACTGCCCGTGGCACCACACTGGCCTGAGAAGGGGCCGCCCGCCCACAGGACTCCAGGTGCCAAGTGGTCTCCTCAGCCAGTGAGGGGACGGCCAGTCATGCAGAAGGACGGGGTCTCCAGCGAGACTCACTCCCCACCCAAGGCCAAGGTGAAAGCCGCATCCTGGCCTGTGATTTCTCCACGCTGGCGGCACAGAGGTTGCAGGGCCCACTCTCCACCCGTCTCTCCGGAAGCCAGCCTCTCTCGTGGGCAGGTGAGCACTGGCCGGCTCGCCCCAGCATCATGGCCACAGGCTCCCCACTCCCACGTAACAGGAAGAAGGGGCCAGGGGGCTGCCAGGCCAGGGTGGGGGGTACCCCAGGTCCTCCACTCCAGGGTCGTGTGGAATCCGCTCCGCTTTCTAGACCACAGGCAACACCGAAATTGACTTCATCTTTCAAATAAGAAAATTTCCTCCCAGAAAGTTATCGTCCCTATCTCCGCAAACCCAGGGAGAGAACACCCCTCGCATTCCTTGTCAAAGGGGTTTCCCTGCCCGCCCAGTGGAGCACATGAGCACGCTCACAGTGCACAAACCTTTCCTCTCCAAGTACAGATGCGAGACGCTCACAAGACTCTGCTGAAAACGCAGTAATCCAACGAGGAATTCCCAGGCATTGGGGAGAGCTTCTGTCTGTAAAAAGATTAAGAGTAAAAAGCTCAGAAGGATATGTGCTAACAAGCACCCTGGGCACATCTTTGTGTGCTGAGATCCTTTTAGAATACCTCTGAAATCCTCCCCAACATAACAAGGTTTTGTAAAGAAATGTGAAAAGAGGGTAGGAAGATTCGCATTTCTCTAACCAAAGAGTTCAACTGACTTTCAGCCAGGGAGAAACTACAGGAAATAAAGAAGTTCCATCCAATTTACAACTGTATGAAGTTTCTTCTTAATGCAAACAGAAATCATTGCCTCAATTTAGCGTACATTTTTGTTTGCTAAAATCCTGAGAGCTTTCCATTTCTGGTTCATCCTAATTTATTCTGCAATAAAATTCTATTACTCTGGGTGTGTACATATATGTGTATATATATATATATATATATGGCTTCCCCAGTGGCTCAGACAGTAAAGAAGCTGCCTGCAATGCGGGAGACCCAGGTTCGATCCCTGGATGGGGAAGATTCCCTGAAAAAAGGAATGGCAACCCACTCCAATATTCTTGCGGGCAGAATTCCATGGACAGAGGAGCCTGGCGGGCTACAGTCCATGGGGTCACAGAGTCGGACATGACTGAGTGACTAGCACTCTCACACTTTCACATACGTATGTGTACATAAGAAGCACTTCCCAAAGGGATGGTGAGATGGCTGGGCTAGAACTGAGAGCAGTGACTGCTATCGGAACGTGAAGAACGGTGACTCGGGGAGCAAAGAAGCAAGCCGCGTCTCTAACGAACGAGTAGGGTTATTACTTCATAAGACCCAGACTCCAGTTCTGCGACCCACCAGCTCAGCAGCTCTTCCCCAAGACCACACGATACCCTGACTAGACACGGCACTGCTAGACACTACAGATCCTAGAGTCCCCTTGTCCCCCAGAGCAGACTGGTCACGGGCACGCACCGTCTGTGCCGGCGTGTGGCCGGGCGTGCACTGGCAACCAGACGGAAGGTGCTCTGCTGGCCTTCCTCAGCTCTGCCTTTAGAAACCCTAACTGTGTAGGCTGCTTGACATTCTGGGTACCGCAGTCATCACCCAGCATCTATGAAAATCTTCCCAAGGGTAGTGAGTGGTAGGTTCAAATCTATAATAATCTATTCCCTCTCAATATTTTTAATTAAAAAAAAATCACGAAAGCAACTCTTTGAAAAACTGAGGAACTTTTGTTTTTTTGATCCAAAGATAACGCCTCTGGACCCCTACCTCATACCACACACAAAAATTAACTGGGAAAAAACGGATCAAAAAACCTAAGTGTCTGAACTAAAACTACTGAATTCTTAGAAAAAAACAAGAATAGATTCTCATCACCTTGAATTTGACAAGACCTTAGATGTGACACCAAAAGCACAAGTGAAAACAGAAAAAAATAAATTGGACAAAATTTTAAACTTTTTGCTTCAAAAAAAAGACACCCATCAAAGTGAACACAATTTACAGATTGCGAGACACTATTTTCAAATCATCTATCCAGAATATATAAAGAACTCTTAACCACATTTTTAAATGGTGAAAGGATCTGAACAGACATTTCTCCAAAGACATACGAATGGATGATAAGCTTGTGAAAAGACAGTATCACTAACCATCAAGGGAATGCATATCAAAGCCGACTTCTGAGATACCATTCCACACATTCTAGGGTGGCTACCATCCAAGAAACAGACAAGAAGTTTGGCGAGGGTGTGCAGAAATCAGAAGGCTCTTACGCTGCTGGTGGAAATGTTAAATGGAAGAATCTGGCAGTTCTTCACAAGGTTAAACACAGAGGTGCCATATATCCCTGAAACTCCACTCCTAGGTATATAGAAAAGTTATTCACAGAGCATCACTCCTAACAGCCCAAAGTGAAAATAACCCAATATCTACAAGACACGCAGCAAGTGGTCTATCCATTCAATGGAATGCTACTAACATCTGACGATAAAAGGAATGAAGTACTGACACCCATTACAACATGGATGACTCTTAAAAATCTTACACTAAGTGAAGAAGCCGGACACAGAAGACTGTATATCATACAGGCCCATTTCTATGAGTGGCCAGATCTGGTAAGTCTACGGAGAGAAAAAGTAGAATAGTGGTTGCCTAGTGTCGGGGTGAGGGAACCTGATAAGGTTTCTCTGAGGTGACGAAACCACCGAAGCCGAGTTAGCCGTCCACTTGCCCACCCTCTCCAGTGTAGCAGAGGAAACAGGTCTCACAGGCCCACTCTCCACAACACCATCACTCTGAGGACTCCCTCCCACCCCTGCCTCCTGCACAGTGAAAGACAAGACCCCTGAGGGACAAGGGCCCCAGGACAGGGCCCACTGCAACACAGGGCAGGCCCCGGGGCTCCCAGCTGTCTCTCTCAACCGTGCGCTCCCCAGCCCCTGCTGCACTGTGCTGACCAAAGATCTGAATCACCAATGACTCCATCCAAGTTCAGTTTTTTACAGATCTGTCTCTCAAAATGCTTCAAATAAAAGGTCGGGAGGGACACACTGCCAGTTACTGAGGGGGGTGTGGAGCAGAACATAAAGGACAACCCCGCACAACCCTCCTCGCTCCTCTCTCGGGTCTGGGAACACTTTCAGCCTCTGGCACCAGCGCAGTGACTCACCCGCCGTCAGGCCCTGCCCAGTGCCGGCCAGCTGGGCGGCGGGGCGAATCACGCGGTCGGCCCCAGCGGGTTAAGCCCCCACGGAGCTCCGGGGGCCAGGTCTCCGCGGAGCCCAGCGGGGCGCTGGCCCGGGACGCCTCGAAGCTCCATCCAGCTGGAAGTGGGTTCCTCACCCCGCTCCCCCGGGCCCGACGCGGCCAGCTTCCACAGGAAGGAAGCCCTGTCCCCTCGCCCCAGACCCTCTGCAGGGGCACCAAGCTCGCACCAGAGTGACTCCCTTCCAGGTGACTGCAGCTCGCACCCAGAGGAGGGACTGTTCCCAATCCAGAGCCGCTCCACTGTGCCGCCGCGCCGGTCGCTGCATTTCCACTGACCTGATTGCAACATCTCCACGCAGGTGTGGGCCCGGGAGCTGGGAGCAGCGGCCCGCCCTGCCGTTGGGAGACCCCGGCCCCTCCCCCCCGGCCCTCCGCCCCCTGACCTCCCGAGTCCGGGACTCCTCCTTCCGGTAGGACTCCTCTCTGTCCCTAGACCCTCTCGGCTCTCCGCCCCCTCCCCCTAACACTCCAGGTCCTGGACCCCCTCCCCGGCGGTCCTCGCTCTTCCCAGGACCCTCTGGACCCTTGTCCCCCTTCCCCTAAACACTCGGGGCCAGGCCTCTCCGCGCCCCCCGCCCCCTTGCCCCTTCCTCCCGACCCCTAGGTCCTGCACCCCTCCTGTAGAGCCCCTCTCCTATCCTAGACGCCCCCCTCAAACCTCTGGCCCCTTCCTCTCAGGAGCCCGGGCATTCGCCCCTTCCCCTCAGCCCCCGGCCCCTTCCCCTCAGCCCCCGGCGCCCTTCCTCAGGCCCGGCCCCCTCTCTCCCAGCCCCGGCCCCTTCCCCTCAGCCCCCGGCCCCTTCCCCTCAGCCCACCGGCCCCTTTCCCTCACCCCCCGGCCCCTTTCCCTCAGTCCCCGGCCCCTTCCCCTCAGTCCCCGGCCCAGCCCCCAGCCCGGGGAAGCCTCGCCCGCGCTCCCCCCGCGCTCGAAACCGCGAACGGAAATGCGGCGAGACCGCCGCGGCCGCCGCTTCCTTCCCGTTTCGGGACGTGGCTGCGCCCGGGGACCTCAGCTGAGGAACCAGCCCGCTCCCCCACCCGGCGAAGGCCGAGCTCGCTCACCGCCTACTGGGGTGTCGGTCTGGTCCGGCTCGGCACTGCCCAGCCTCCGCCGCGCCCGCAGGTCCCAGGCGCCCCGCTCCACTTCCGGTTCCGCGGACGGGGGCGGGGCCGCATCCGGGTCTCCGAGGCTCCGCCCCCGCCGGCACGCCCCCGCCCCCGCCGGGTCCGCGGATCCTGCGGCCTCACTTGTCCACGTGGCGCCAGCAGTGCCCACCCCTGGCGCAGGCGCGAGCTCCGCCCGGTGCCCGCCTGCGGAGCCTGCCTAAAAGTGAGATGACGCTGAAGGATAAATTTACGGAGCGCCCGCTGTGTGCGGACCAGACTGTGCTCACAGTGCTGGATTCACAGCACCGCCCGAGGTGACAAAGGGCGCCCGAGCGGAAAAGGGGACAGTGCCAGGTTCTCTGAGCACTGAGGACGCAGGAGGTAAAAGTGACGGCCAGTCACCTGGATGGAACAGGTGACTGTTCCTCCGTTCATGCGTCCATCCGTTACCTATCCGTACCTCATCCATCCATCCATCTTCTCCTTCCATTTTCCACCAGTCAGTCATCCAACCACCTGTCAGTCTCTTCGTCCAGAGAAAGCCAGATATGTATCAGAAGTAGAGGTGAGCAGAATAAACGTGGACTTTGCCCTTAGAGACCTTTCAACCTAGAAGAGGAGTCAGACATTAATCAAATACATGTATACTAAGGAAATAAGACAGATGCTCTAGAAAATGTCAAGGTTAGATTGGAGAGATGGTAGGACCCCAAATCCTTCAGCAGATCAGAGGCTTCTTCCAGCTATTAACCTTTGAGCTGATACATGATAGCCAAATGGAAGTAAACAAGGAAAGAAGGGAAGAATTTTCCAGGCAAGAAAAGAGTCTATGCAAAGGCCCTGAGGCAAGAAAAGAATGAGGTCCTCTGTGCTCTGAGAAAAACTTGGAGAGTAGACCATTAGATATTTTCAGGAGAAGACTTTCTGAACCTAATTTCTTGCATCTTTTCATACCCAGTTTAGTTCAGTCACTCAGTCGTGTCCGACTCTTTACGACCCCATGAACTGCAGCACGCCAGGCCTTCCTGTCCATCACCAGCTCCCATAGTACACCCAAACCCATGTCCATTGAGTCAATGATGCCATCCAACCATCTCCTCCTCTATCGTCCCTTTCTCCTCCTGCCCTCAATCTTTCCCAGCATCAGGGTCTTTTCCAATAAGTCAGCTCTTCATATCAGGTGGCCAAAGTATTGGAGTTTCAACTTCAACATCAGTTCTTCCAATGAACACCCAGGACTGATCTCCTCTAGGATGGACTGGTTGGATCTCCTTGCAGTCCAAGGGACTCTCAGGAGTCTTCCCCAACACCACAGTTCAAAAGCATCAATTCTTCAGCACTCAGCTTTCTTTATAGTCCAACTCTCACATCCATACATAACCACTGGTTTTTCCAGTGGTTCATACCCGGAAAAGTACTAAATTTATTAACAGGCGCATCTGTTCTTTCTGACTAGCACAGTCCTCTGCCAAAGTGTGTATTTGACTTCACATACCCACCCTTTACTTAAAGTGGTGTATATATACTGACTTCCCTCCCCACTTCAGAGCAGTTCCTCAAAGATACTTAAAAGGCTGTCTTCTGGGCTTTAGTACTCACTTTGCCCCAAACTCACAACTCTCCCAATTTTTTTCAGTCATCGTCACCAAGGAGTTAGCTTGATGCCTGACCACACACAGCGTTCACTGTCATAGTGATGGAAATGAAAACACTTGCGTTTTATCTGTCTGGCCTCAATGCTTTGGATGCACACCCCATTCTTTCCTGCTTCCGTGCCTTGCTGGAATCCCTCCCTCTTCCCCTACGGCCTTCCTACCTTTTTATGTCCTTACCTTGCTCACTCCTCAACCTCCAGCTCAGAAGCCATCTCCAGCATCTCTTCTTGGAGCTCACCTTGACATGTCATGGGTATTTCAAAAGAACCAAGTTCACAGCCGTATTCTCACTCTCCCACTGCAGTCTTGGTGCGTTTCCTCCCCCACCCTCCAACCCTCACCATCATCCCTCCCACCACCCCACCCCTCTAGGGCATCACAGAGCACCAAGCTGAGCTCCATGTGTTATATAGCAGCTACCCGTCAGCTCTCCAAAAGAAAAAAAGATCCATACTTTAGAATGGGAAAAAGGGATGATTAGATATTCTTTTAAGAGAACACTTAAGGCTCCGATAATCATGATTCTTTGGGATATGTGCCTTTAAAATAAAAAAAAAAAAAATTTCACCTAGATTATTCCACTCCTCTATAGAGGTAGAAGTTAACCTGTAGAAAACAGACAGCGATGCAAATAATTCTTGTCCGTAGAAAGGCCCATTAGCTGTGTCCAGTAAAATACAACTGACATTGCCCTATGGATAGACCATTTTTTTGCAAATTCGTTTCAGCATTCCTGTCACTTCTCCTTTGAACAAGTTGTAAGCTCTTAGTGCTTCATTTATTATTAAGTGAAATAAAATCTTTGATATGCATTCATTTTATATGTGTAGAAAATCATGATTTTATCTTTCAAAAAATTATCCTTTCACCTCTGACATCACCTTCCCCACCCATACCCCCTATACATCCTCAAACCTGACAATTTAACTTTATAAATGTATCTGTGTCTACTCCCTTCTCTCCGTCTTACTCACCGCCACCAGTTTGCCTGAACTGTCCATCCCAGGCCCTTACCTGGCTCTTTTCCGATTCATTCTCGGCTCAGCAGCCCGATTTCATTACAATACAAACTGTGTGATTTCTACCCCCTGCTCAATCTCGTCCAAGGACTTCCCACTTATTTTTTTTTTATATATTTACTTATTTAGCTGTTCTGGGTCTTACTTGCTGCATATAGGATCACTGATGTTCATTGCAGTATGCAGGATCTTTTTTTTTTTAATTTCGGCATGCAGAATCTAGTTCCCTGACCAGGGATCAAACTCAGGCCCCCTGCATCGGGAGTGCAGAGTCTTAGCCAGTGGACCATCAGGGAAGCCCTCCCCCCATTTCTTCAAGAAAAAAGACCAAGGTCCTTGCAGTGCGCTTCCCACCTGAGCTGGCTCCATCTCAGCCACTGCCCCGCTCTGTCACCACACTTCTGCCCATCTCAGCCACTGCCCCGCTCTGTCACCACACTTCTGCCCATCTCAGCCACTGCCCCGCTCTGTCACCACACTTCTGCCCATCTCAGCCACGGCCCCGCTCTGTCACCACGCTTCTGCCCATCTCAGCCACTGCCCCGCTCTGTCACCACGCTTCTGCCCATCTCAGCCACTGCCCCGCTCTGTCACCACGCTTCTGCCCATCTCAGCCACTGCCCCGCTCTGTCACCACGCTTCTGCCCATCTCAGCCACTGCCCCGCTCTGTCACCACGCTTCTGCCCATCTCAGCCACTGCCCCGCTCTGTCACCACACTTCTGCGGCACAGAGCTTCCTTCAGTTCCTCCGTGGAGTGAGGAACAAAGTGGATCTTTTTGTACGAATGAGGTTACTTTGGAAAGCACCTAAGGATGGGGCTGGTTGCCAGGACAACCTTCTATGTGATTGGAGAGCTGGAAATTCAGTCCCACCCTTGAGCCCTGGGGAGGGGAAAAGAGAAGGGCTGTGGGTTCAATTCATCACCAATGGCCAATGAGTTCATCAATCATGGGTGTGTGATGAGCCCTCCATAAAGACCCGCAAGGACGGGTTCTGGGAACTTCCGGTTTGGTGAACATGTGCAGATTGGGGGAGAGCGGTGCTCAGACAGCACGGAGCTCTGAACCCCTCCTCACACTTGCCCTGTGCCTCTCTTCCATCTGGCAGATCCTGAGTTTATAACCTTTTAAAATCAACCTGTGATCTAGTAGGTAACACGTTTCCCTGAGTTCTCTGAGCTGTCTGGCAAATTCACCAACCCTAAGGAGGTTATTAGAACCGGACTTGGAACAACTGACTGGTTCAAAATTGGGAAAGGAGTACTACAAGGCTGTACGTAGTCACCCTGCTTATTTAACGTCTAGGCAAAGTCAAAGTGAAAGTGAATTCGCTCAGTCGTGTCTGACTCTCTGCAACCCCATGGACTGTAGCCTGCCAGGCTCCTCCGTCTATGGGATTTTCCAGGCAAGACTACTGAAGTGGGTTGCCATTTCCTTCTCCATAGGATCTTCCCTACCCAGAGATTGAACCTGGGTCTCCCATATTGTAGGCAGATGCTTTACCGTCTGAGCCACCTTAGTCTTCTATGCAGAGTACATCATGCGAAATGTTGGGCTGAATGAATCACAAG